GAAATACTTTTGGCATTTTTAAAAAATTAACGAGTAGAAAGTACAGATAATTGAATTAAAATGTAAGGAGTAGAAGTAAAAAGTAGGCTGAAAAAATTACTCCACTAAAGTATAAATAACCAAAACTTCTACTTAAGTAAAGTAACAAAGTATTTGTACTTAGTTACTTGACACCTCTGGTCAGTGTACACTCAAAGGTTATCGGATAAATAATAATCTAACATGAAGTTAGGCTTAAAATATCTGTGAGTTTAAATGGTTTAAAACAGTTTTGTTTTTATTTTTGAAGGTCTGGTAAAGACGGCCTTTATCCTCAGCTRATTACATTCTGTGAGAGTCACTTGGAGAAGCTGAATCCTAAGAGCAGTGCTCTCAGGAAGGAAAATCCTGCAGCCACAGCAGCCAGCTTCTCTAAAGATGAGTGGAGCCAAATCATTGATGAATTAAAGGTATGGTGCTCAGGAATGAGTGTGGCTTTCTTTTTATTCATAAATGATTTGAAGTTTTTGCTCTCTGTTGTGACAGTTTGTCTGAGGTCATAAACACTTTTTGTGTTTTACAGGCATGGGAAGAAGAAACCAAAATAACTGAAACTTTCATTAAACAAGAGTCAATGTTGTGTGATTCAATGAAAAAGAAAATACCACCTGTAAGGAGTTCCAATTGTTTTGTCCCACTCTCTGAGGTAACCATGTTCACTATACGAACATGATGAAGCCATTCAAGACAGATTTTAAATAAAGTCTTTTTGTTATTGCAGAATTCAGCTCCAAAAGAAAAAAGAAATCCCTTGAAACTATCTCCTCCCCGGTATTATTGGGAATGGGACAAGTAAGTGAATCTTTAAAAAGTTTAAAAGAGACAACACACAATTAGTGCAGCTGTAGACGTGATTAATAACATGTTCTGATTTCTGAGTTAAGCCTCTATAATTACAGTGATTCATAGCTAAACAATGTGTGCTGCTACAGGCTATTGTTTGGCAGGATATTTTTCTTTATCCATATTTCTCTATTGTCAGGTTTGATGTGGAAAAAGAGTGTGACAGAATAGATGGGAATGTGATCAAAAACGACCCACCAGCTATTCTAAACACGGGACATCCTAAAATCAAGAAGGAAGTGGTTTGCTCATGTAATGAACTCTGCACCACAATGCACATGCGGTTTACAGTAATTACAAAAATGTGAAATTTAGTATTTAAGTTCCTGTGTCTGTTTTCAGGGCTATCAGAGCAGGAAAAGCTCCTTCTAGCAAATCGTGAAAAAGACAAAGGCAACGAAGCCTTCAGAGCACATGACTATGAAGAGGCGGTTGCATACTACTCCAGGTTTGATTCTGACTTATTTATTACAAATATGTTCCCCTCTAAGAGTCACAGACAGTCGTGTTTATCACCTGAAGGCAAAAAGATGATCACGTTTTAGCTCAGGTGTTCAACTGTTTGTAGCATTAACAAAATATGTCATGACTCAGTGGTTAACAAAACTCTCAAAATATGATTTATTTCAAACTTTATTCATTTCTTAAAAACAAAATTTTATGTACAATAATAGAAAAGAAAACACAAATACAATGAAATGAAAGGCAGCAGAGAGAAGAAAAAAATCTTATAATAAATTAATGGTTGTGGATGTTAAAGTGCCTGTGATATCATTTTGTTATAATAAATATGAATGTATTTTTGGAAAGAGAACATTGATAACATATTGTAAAAAAGATTTCATGCCGCTGAGATGAACAGTTGTTGAGATATTTGCATGTGAAGAAGCAGGAAGTGATGTCAAAGGGGAATGTCTGAATGTAAACTGAGCATTGCTAAAATGGCTAACAACACAGACTGTAGAGAAGAATCTGATGTTTCTTTAGATTATTTTAATCACAATCATAGAGAGATAAGAAAGAGTCATACTTTAAATAACATTGTTTCAATAAACAAAAACCAGGGAGTTCTCTTTCATAGCATTCGTTTCGTGTCTCACTATGGGGAACGCCTCCTGCGTGACCTCATCAGAAGCTTAAATTTCATTACGCCAGCCCTGATTGGCTGGCACAAGTGACGTCTATGTCAGGAGGGGCCCAGACCCTCCCTCAATAAAAGGGACTGACATAGCATCAGTCATTATTCAAAAACCTCTTCTCGTTTCTCACAGAAGCCTGCTGACAACTTTACTACTGGGTGTGAAACTAAACTGTCCATCGACCGGGTGCAAACTCGGTCACAGGGCGCTTGTTCCCAGCCATACGGTTATCTGCTGGTCCGAGGAAGTAGCAATACTTTCTCGACTAGCTAGGTAGCAATACTTTCATCCCCGCTAGCTCAAGTGTGACATAGCAATACTCCCACTTTCTAACAAGTAGCAATACTTAAATTAAAGTAGTAATACTTTTACTGGTGGCAACACCTTTTAAAGCAGCGAGGAAATAGCAATATTTCCTCCCCGCTCTTACCAACTAGCTGCACAAGCTTCCTGAGAGAGAGCTGGAAAACTGCTAACATGGCTACCGCGGCTAACACCGATACGGTRGAGGAAGGACCTAAACTCTGTACCTGCAGTAGAAAATTTTCCTCCTGGGACACTCACCCCGTGTGTGCGGCTTGCCTGGGTGCATCCCATGCCCAGGCAGCTTTAGCCTCCACGCAGGAGTGTATCCACTGTGTGGCTTTTCCACACAAGCTGCTGCGCCGCGGGCTAGCCCGCTAGGTCAGCTTGTCCTGCGGAGACCCGGTCATGTGCGGGCCGGCCACACCTCAAGCTGTAACCGAGGCGGAGCTACTCGCTACACCTGGCCTGAGCTGGGCGGACTCAGACCCCMCAGCTACCCCMGACTTTCCCACTGCTACAGGCTGATGCAATGTGTGATGAGCTCGCTAATTCTCAATCACTCCTGGAGGCGGAGGGGGATGAGGACGGGGCAGAGTCGGAGGACTCGGAGCTCATGATGTCGGACGAGGATGAGGAGGACCTCACTGTCCTTAGCCGCTACGAGGCTGCAAAGCCTCCCGCGCTGGGAGAAGACGGCACACCAACGGCGCTTTGCCCCCTGGACATGGATATACAGGACATGTGCAAACGTGCAGCCGTGAGGCTAAACATTCCATGGCCAGCTGTTCAGACTGAGGTTGTAAAATCTCGGTTTGAYGGGAAGAAGCTGCCGAAGGCTAGGAAGACTGGAAAACATGTGCTGCCTGTCTTCCCGGAGCTCCTGGAGGAAATTGCGGTGACATGGAGGGACAAGCCCTACACCGAAAAACACCCCATTTCGGGGAGTTCTCTGCTGGATTGTGAGGGGATGGAGGCTCACGTCAGGTTTATGTCAGATGCCGCCTGTGGAGCTGCTGGTCGCTAGTCACCTCCATCAGAAAACATCAGTCATCCACCGCTGCATCCCTCCCATTCAAGACGGACCGTTTTCAGTCCAGCCTCACTGACAAGTGCTATAAGGCGGCTGCGCTGTCCACAAGAGCCCTGAACGCCTCCTCCATTTTGACGGCGTACCAGGTGGAGTAAGAAGAAGATATGTCCGCTAAACCAGACAACACCCTCTGGTAAGAAATCTGCGTCATAACGGATCACATTCTCCGCCTCCACAAGATGGCGATACAAGCYACGGTGAAGGCCATGGGTCTCATGGTTCTTCAGGAGAGGGCACGTTGGCTTGGGCTCACCAATCTGACAACCAGGGAGAAGGAGGAGCTCCTTGACACACCGGTTGTCCCCCACGGTCTCTTCGGCATAGCGGTTACCACCATGCAGAAGAGATGTGAGGAGAAAAAGAGGGATGATGAGGCGCTGAAACTTTGTCTGCCGAGAAAAGTACATCCTGCCGCCTCCGCTCCGGCGCCACGTCATTCATATGCATCGGCTGCCGCTTGCCCACCTCTGGCTTTCAGGATCCCCAAGGTGCCTAAAGCGCAGGCCGCGACACCGCACCCTGGAGGTCTGAAAAACCCGTGGGCCAKGAAGCAATCCCCTCAGGCATGTCCTCAGTCTGCCCAGCCTCCACCCGCCGCCGCTGTGAGCGGGAGGAAGAAGAAGCGGCAGGCCTGACAGCCTCACCTCTCGGTGGCAGCGAGCCCAGTTCACCCTTTTCACGGGCCGCCCCACCACCCCCAGGCCCAGRCCCAGTTCTGAAGCCGGCCCAGGGAGAAATGTTTCACACAGTGTGCCAACCCCAAGCAGTGTGAACCTACGGTCTCTGAAAGCAACTCACATAACAGGAGCCCTGAATTATGGTGCAGACCTGTTATCCAGGGGCAATCYGCTTTATGTGGATTGGAAACTCCACCCCGAGGTGGTAAACCAGATCTGGTTGAGATTCGGYCAGGCAGTCATGGACCTGTTCACATCGAAACAGAATGCTCAGTGTCCACTTAATTTCTCCCTGCTGGACCAGGGAGCTCCACTGGGGGTGGATKCTTTAGCACACATGTGGCCGAGGTCTCCACTCTATGCCTTCCCTCCGATAGCTCTCATCCCTCCCACTCTGATCAGGGTAAGGGAGGAGGGTCTGACTGTGATTCTGATAGCCCCAAGGTGGCCGGGGAAACGCTGGTTGGCRGAGATCTTCCAACTTTTGTCCAACACACAGTGGCAATTACCACTCCACAAGACCTGCTATCCCAGGCGCACGGAGAGATATTTCATCCCCATCTGGAGAGACTGGCTCTGTGGGCATGGCCCCTGAGTGGCTGATTCAGAATGCAGAGGGACTCCCTGCTGACGTTATTGACACCATTCAATGTGCCAGAGCACCCTCAACCAGGTCCCTGTATGAGCAAAAGTGGAAGGTGTTTGAGAGCTGGTGCTCAGACTCTAACATCATCTCTTATCAGTGTTCAGTGGCAGTGATCCTGTCATTTTTACAGAACCTTATTGAAAGAGGCAAAGCCTTTTCAACCATAAAAGTATATTTGGCTGCTATTTCAGCTTGTCATGTTGGTTTTGAGGGAAACAGAGTGGGCCAACACCCTTTGGTGTGCCGTCTTATGAAGGGCACGCCGCAAATTGCCCACGTCCAGGCCTTTGGCCCCATCCTGGGACCTTCCCACTGTTCTAGAAGCTCTTTCTGGTTCTTTCTTTGAACCTCTGGAAGAAGTGGAACTGAGATTATTATCCCTCAAAACAACTTTGTTACTCGCATTGGCTTCAGCTAAACGGGTAGGTGAGATCCACGCTTGTTCGGTGCATCAAGCCTGTATAAAATTTTCCCCCAGTAATGCTTAAGTCACACTGCAACCAAACCCAGCTTTTATTCCAAAAGTAGTGGGTTCGTGCTCTCCAATAGAGTTGACCTCTTTTTACCCACCCCCTTTTGCTTCGGAGGAGCAAAGGCATTTGCACAATTTGTGCCCAGTGCGTGCACTGCGGATCTATTTGGAYAGGACACAAGGTTCTAGGAAAACCAATCAATTGTTTGTGTCCTGGGCAAAACCACATAAAGGAAAGTCTGTGTCAAAGCAGCGTCTTTCCCACTGGATTGTGGAAGCTATTATTTTAGCATATTCTAGCAAGGGACTCCAGCCCCCGAAAGGTCTTAAAGCGCATTCCACCAGGGGACTTGCATCCTCTTGGGCGCTTTTTAAAGGGGTCCCTATCCAGGAGGTGYGTGCAGCTGCATGCTGGTCCTCCTCTGACACTTTTGCTAGGTTTTATAAGCTTGATGTGACTGCTCCTGTTTTGGCACATTCAGTCCTAAGTGCAGGGTCTCACTGTGCAACCTGTTACTGAGCGGCCTCTGGGAACAGTTGTCATTAAAACAGCCATGTCTGGCAATCTGGGAGTCAGTATTTCTCCCCATAGTGAGACACGAAACGAATGTTATGAAAGAGAACTTAAGGTTATGAACATAACCCTGGTTCTCTGATTAGCATGAGTGAGTGTCTCACCAGACCACCCTCCTTGCTGCGAAGCGAGGAAGAGGTGAGCTTGTTGAATAATGACTGACGCTATGTCAGCCCCTTTTATAGAGGGAGGGTCTGGGCCCCTCCTGACATAGACGTCACTTGTGCCAGCCAATCAGAGCTGGCTTAATGAAATTTAAGCTTCTGATGAGGTCACACAGGAGGTGTTCCCCATTGTGAGACACTCACTCATGCTAATCAGAGAACCGGGGTTATGTTCATAACCTTAAGTTTTCTTTCTCAAAGAGTTCCCCTTTGATGTCACTTCCTGTTTCACTTTAGCTGAGCAAAATTCAAAAGAATATATGCCAATTAAGTGACGTAACGGGTCAAATCATGTGTTTTATGCCAAGTTTCTTAAATATAAATATATTTTCTTTGACGTTTTGTATTTCATGGATATGCATGTCACAAGCACTTTAATGGAAGAACATCCACAACCAATGAACTTCTGGAGTCAACCCGATTCAAAATGAGTGCCACAGCCAACTGACAGGATGAGAACTTTTTTAGCAAAATAACTGAACCACTGCACATGTTTTAATGAACATAATGTCTAAATCTCCAATGATTAATTTTTGGAATCCAATTCAAGATGGCCACCAAGGCTTATCAATAACGTTAAGCTAAAGCTAATAAGCTAATATTTGATACAGTAATAGTCTATAAACAACTGCACGGTCTTTCAAGAGATGCCTTTCTTTAATTTATTGAAGTCTGTTTTAATTTCTGTTAAACAAACATTCCTGTAAGTGGTCTTGTAATAACTTTATTGGAATTAAAAATGAGAGTTTTTTTATTGTATTACAGAAGCCTTTCAGTTGTTCCCAGTGTTAGTGCATACAACAACAGAGCTCAGGCAGAGATCAACCTGAAGCATTGGCACAATGCCATGAGGGACTGTCACCAAGTGCTCCAGCTACAACCAGGCAATATAAAAGGTGCTTTTTAAATTTAACATTAATTTTATCTWATGATTTGAATAAGTTTACATGTGCGAGTCATACCTTTAAGTCAAAATTGGATATTAGCAATATATTGTGTATTTTTCTATATTAGCTCTGCTGCGCCGTGCAACTGTTTATAATTATTTGGGTCAATTCCAACTGGCCTCTGAAGATCTGAGGATGGTGTTGAAGAAAGAGCCACACAACACTGCAGCCACTGTAAGTAACAGAAGTAATGAAGCACGTTCAGTAGTGCTTGTAGAACTTTTGTCCACTAGGTGTCTCTGTATTTGCATGTGAAAAACATATATTCCTGATACTACAAAGTTTTTAACCTGAGCACTGTACTTCACTCACATGTGGGTGGTCAGGGTACCAAACCTGGTTTCTGTTGACTTGCAGGAACCACATTGGTTCCTTCCACTGACAAATCCCAACATCTAAATGATTTGCGTTTATTTTTTCTTTTTGCAACATCTGTCTAAAATTGAGAAGAAGATGTTAAAATGTCTGTCAGAGCAGCAGCAACGAGGCAAGCAAATCCTCATCCAGGAAGTCGAAGAAGAAAACGGCACCAGTTCCACAGAGGAGCGAGCTCCACAGATCGGTGAGACTGAAACATTACAACATCAGTACTGAGATTTCTCACTAACACAGAGACTCACTGAACACAGGAAAAAATCACACTTTTACTAATAAATAAAAAAATTTGTCAGGAAATTTTGTAAACTATAAATTCATCCTTTCTTTCTGAAGCTACTTTCATTTTGAGGGAGTTTGTTTTTGACAAAGTCAGACACTGCAATAGTCTACAACAGAGCATTTATGTCATATTGTCTGGAAGTGTTTATTGTGTGTTTGTAAAACACACATCCAAAAACTGAATGAAATTAGTTATTAAAGATCAAATTAAAGACCTAGTATTCCTTGAAGCCGTCCTGCCTATCATGTCAGAGTTTTAGACAAAGATCTTCTTGATGGAGTTTATGTTGTTTTGGTCAAAACTTGAGAGGATGTATCAYGTGTGATATTATAAGTGTCACTCTCAGCGTCTGTGTTGTGAATCACTCTACAAAATGCAGCTTCATGTTTTAAATTTAGTTATAGTAATTTTTGTGTTAGTTAAYGTTGATTAGCTTTGGTGGCCATCTTGAGTGACTCCAGAAAGAGTTGTGGACGAACATCCAAAGATTACTTTATAAAACTTTCATTATTGCCAGCTGACAGAGATGACTTCAAATAATTAAAGGCAACATTTTAAAACACAAATTAGTTAGCGCTCAGAATATCTGTTGGGATCAGTTTGGGCTAGTACCACACCAAATTTTAGGTCAGAGCCTGTAAAAGCAGCTGAGTTTTTAAGGGTCTTTCAAAGCCTTGATGAATCAGGTTGATTCCAGAAGCTAATCAGCTGTAGATGTTCAGCTGACAAATACTTGCAATAAAATAAAAAATTACCTGTATTTTTTTTTTGCAAAAAAAAAAAAAAACTTGRCAAACATTTGATCTGCTTACATTGTTCCATTTTGTGAGGGGAAGAATGTTTCTAAGATTTGCAAATCATTGCTGTTTGTTTTTATCAGGGCTGACCCAATTTSAGAAGAGGGTCTCTACAGTCAGGGGCTTCTTGTTCTGTGGGARCAGTTTGTCCAAGACATAATTGGTCTGTTTGACTTTTGTGGGTKGTTTGTTTAAAACGTGATTGATAGAACTGATTATTTTGGTTGAAACGGCCAGGAAGCACYTGTATGTTTGTTTATTAAATGTTAATATTAGTCATAACCTGAGACAGGAAGGTGCTTGCTGCATGAAATTTGAAGTCAATAGAGCTTTGGAGCGTGATGTCACTGTTGTAGGCGTGGTTTGCAGCGCAGTGGCTGATGGGATGCAACCACCATCTTGTGCTTCAATTTAATTTATTTCCAAAGGATGGGGTGGACGTGCATCAGACAAACACATAACAGAAAATTGTGGCCTTCTATGTGAACTTCTACCCAGGGTCATTGTGTTAGCTGACAGAGGCTTTGATATAAAAGACAGTGTTGGAAAGGTGTGCGCCGAGGTCAAACTCCCATCATTTACTAAAGGCAGATGTCAACTTGATGCAAACGCTGTTGAAGATACACGAGCTATAGCGCACCGAAGAATTCATGTGGAAAGAGTGATTGGTTGCATGAGAAACAAATACAAAATGTTACATAGAACTGTACCAATKAGATTGCTGCTTTCATGTGAGCATGAGGAGGTGACACTTCTTGACAAGATTGTGAATGTGTGCTGTAGTTTAGTGAACATGTGTTCTAGTGTGGTTGTAAAACCAAATGAACAAGAAACCTGCACACGTTAACATGAAATTGTATTTGTGCGAGTGTTGTTARATATAGATTGTAAAAATGAAATTAGTTGCATTTTATGGAACCTTTGTTTTGGTTTGAAATGATTGTACAGTTCATTACTATTGAAATGGATGATTTTTCACATTTAATAACTTTTTAAGTAATGAACAGGTATGGGATATTTTATTCAAGCACTTCAAGTGACATGTAAACATGTGATCAGTTTTTACATAAACACTGACTATTTTAATAACACTTCAAGTAACAGATGAACATGATGTCATTAAACTTATGTGAGGTAAACATTGGATATTTAAAACACTTCAAGTAACAGATAAACAGTGTAATGCAAAAGACTTCAGTCTCTTGATTAGTTGGCAGGTAATATTTATCTCTCCCTTGAAGCTGGAGAAATAGCATGCTCGGAGCAATATCTACCAACAAGCTCTGGGAGGCAGGTGTTTTGAAGAATGTTTGTGCCTTCTGTAGCCGTGGTTCCCAGAATTCCTGATCTGGGAAGACATGAACCACAGCCTTGTCCCTTTGGGTCCACACAACCAAGTACAAGTGTTTTGATTTAGTGACAAAAATCTGGGTTTGCACTTGTGTGTAATTTGTTGTGTTTTGATGTGCAGGTGTGTGCCAGATAGCTGAAGGCAAAAGTTTTTGCCCTTTGCATCTAAGGCCTCCTGGATTGTGAGTCCATCAGGAGATGCTCCAAGCTCTGGAAAATCAGTGTTCATTATGAAACCACATGGTTTCACTTTGAGATTTTGGTGACCGTCTGCAGTGAGTGTAATGTAGGCCATTTGTGCATCACTCTCATGCTTTTCGTCTAGTTAGCATGGTATAAAGTGATTTACCTGGGTGGCACACCTGTTACACAACTGTCAGTGCTGGGCTTTCCAAACTGGTGGCAAATGCAGCATGCATACTGGAAGCTGTAATTCGTCCAGCTCGGCATTCATGCCAGGCAGGACTCTTATACTGCTGTTTTGTGTGCTGCTCGATGGTAGCTGCCTGCTCATCAGTCACTGAAGCAGCATCTTTGTGTTCTTCACAGCACAGTAAAACAGCCGTAATTATGCAGACATGCTAGTGACTGTGGTATGGTATTTGGCTGCTCTTTGTGTGCGTATAGTGTGTGGTACTTTTCCATGCCTGACAAACCAGTGGCTTTACTGTGCTCCAGCAGTGTGTCCAGCAGAGGAGCCAAATCGTCCAGAGTTGCTGGAGGAATTTTTCTTTTTGTGGACAGCTTCTTCTGGCTGGTGTTGAGACTTGTTTGTCTTGTCCATCATCTTCTTTTGAGAAGCTGAAGTGCTGTAATCAATTTTATGGCCGACTTCAGGATGGATTTTGGTCAAATTGCTAGGTGGCATCCAGTATGCTGGCTCCTCTAACAGTTTTTGTGTCTCGTATCCACACTGTTGCTTCCAGCTTAAAAAGTAGGGCAGCTACATGGGTGCAGGTCTCAGGTACTCCTGCCATGCACATACAGTGTGCACATTCAACAGTGCCAGTGTTTTTCAGCATGACCCACGGTGTTAACAGCAGCTCAGAGAGCCTCGTTGAGTGCATAAACTGTGAACAAACAAAGCAAGTTTAAAATGGTGAAAGAAAAGTCAGGAACATATTTATGCATTTGTGTGTGAAACTTTACAACTAACTATTTAGGTCAGTGGTTAGCTTTATAACCCCAATCAACTTTCTAGAACAATAGCACTATAATTTAAAATTTAAAAATGATAGAATCACCCTTTAACAGTTTTTAACTTGGAGCTTAGCATATTAGTACAATTTGTACATTAGAAATTATGTGTTCACATTACTACTACATACTGAAAACATTAAATGAAAGCCTGATAGATTTTAAGCGTACACATTAGGCTTTTGTGAGGAAGTGAAGAACAAACATATCTTTGTTTGAACAACAATGTATTCACAATCCGGGGGGTTAAAAAGGTCCAAATCGTGAACCCAGCCATTTGTAAATTGAACATGCGCTTCCATTCACTTGTAGTTTTTAAAAGTATTTACTGTGTAAGCACTGACTCCACATAACAGGTAGGCAAAAATGTCTGGGAATGTGAGTGGAGGTAAATTGTAGGGGTTTCGGTTCCAACTTTTACATTCAAACGGGTTGACATTTCCGATTTTTGAGATTTTTTCCATGTACCCTTTTTTGGTATCTGGAAGAAGTTTGTCACGATAGAGTCCATTTTCTTTTGAGCTGGTTTTTAGCATCATGCTAGATAATACAGCTGTAACACCGTAATACCTCTAACAATGGCGCCGATCGATTACACAAGACGTAAAGCGTCCCACAATGCATTGCGCCATAACGTCAGCTCCAAAGCTCTATAAATCATATTTCCATGTTCACAATAATTATACTTACCATTACTTCCTCTTTTAAACTGCCCCACAAGTCAGTCCGATCAATCACGGCTTTATCAAGCTCCGCCCACACACCAACTCCACTAATCATGTTTAGGACAAACTCCCCCCACATCATGAACTCCACCTATCAAGGTTAGGATGAACTCCGCCTACACAACAAGACACTCCCCCATGTACTGCAGAGACCACTACTTGGCCAATTGGTGCCCTAGGCAAGACTAAAGGCAGCAGCACCCCTTGTACAATTTTCTAAATCTTACTGCCAATTTACATACATTCACATACCAATTAAGTTCAAATTAAAGTTTTTGCTATTATTTTTATCTTTATAAAGCAGGTTTTTGAAGGTAGAACACTGAAAACCAGACTTTAACCTGAACTTTATCTGAGATCAGACGAAGCTTCCATTATTTTTATTTTGTTTTCCGTTTACACACTGAGCAGCAGTAGTTAGTCTTGATTGCATCGTATGATGATTTTATCATGAAACATCCTCTGCAGCATATAACACCTCATGTAGAACCAAAGCAGCCGAGAAACCTACAGATCAAGTTACCTTCATAAACCTGAAGAACCAGTGATTATTCTGCAGACTACATCAAATATACTCTGATAAAAAGTTAATAAAATATTTTTTGTCCCCCATTTGTGGTGCCCCCTAGAAGGACGGCACCCTTAGCATTTGCCTACACTGCCTACGGGCGACCCTGGTTTTTATTTACATTTTAGGCAATGTGCCAACTTCTCTGAAATTGGGCTTGATTTTCTGCTGTAGCTGCCTGGCTAAAGCTAAAGCTAAAGCTATCCCACAGACCATCTGAGGGAGCGTAAATGTTCCTGGCAGCAGACAGGCTCTGTCTTTAAATATCAGTGTGCTGTGCTATAAATAGAGGAAATTCCTTTTGTCTCGTTGGGTGATGTGATGTAATGTGCATGTGGGTAATCCCCTCCCTCTCAGGCTCTTTTGTAATTCAGTACTTCCTGTAACTCCCTCTTTGAACTGTGATGTAACCAGTCCTTCCTGTCAGTGTGCTTCCTCCCTCCCTCTCTCCCTCCTGCCTCACCTCTCCCTCCCTCTGTCTCCCTTCCAGCTCGTCCGGTTCAACCCAGCCAGCCTGTGGGAGGGGAGGAGAGCTCTGCTGCTCCTGCCGAACAGGGAGACATGGGCAACGCTCAGAAAAAGCCCCACAGCAGGGGGGATGGGGGTCCACAAACTGAGTCCAGCAACTCCCACCATCATGGACACTGGAAGAGCAAAGGGGGCAGCTCAGACAAGTACAAAGTCCCACAGGAGTCAAAGGAGAAGGTGGCCAACGGTTCCAATCAGGCGGCATCGACAGCTTCAGTGCCGGGTGATCGTAGCAGTGCAGGTGGGGGGAAAACAGAAGAAAGTGTCAACCTCGATGCTCCGAGTGGAGCCCTGCCACCACATTTGTCCCGGCTAAAGAACGAAGGGAACCTGCTGTTTAAAAATGGACAGTTTGCTGATGCACTGGAGAAATACTCACAGGCCATTCAGGGATACTCAAACTCAGGTAAGGAGTCCTCACTGTTCTGTCCTGATCCACGGTTACTGGAAGTTTACACGCAGTGTGAACACATCTAAAACTGAGTTTAACTCTGAGCAGTTAGTGAACATCGAACATTAAAGTGTTATAACTCAGTCGTGAACATGCAGTGACAAGTCACGATGAGTCATTTGACTCGTGTTTCTTCACCTGGTCTGTCATCACCAGAACTGACTGAACATATATTTGTGTGTAATCATCAGTGCTGTTGAGACTTTGACTGGCCACTGTAGCTGTAAATCAAAGGTCACAAAGCTAAACTTAGTTTGTTAGAGCTTCTGTTCTTGTGTTGTCTCTTCACACTGCAGAATCATTCAATAAGAAACCAAACATCAGTGATACCTTTTGTAATTTATAATGATCTCACATCATTGCAGTCCACATCAGAGAGCAACAATCTTTAAACAGTTCCGGCTTTATCAAGAACAGCCCTCACAGCCTCTCGTGGTGTGTTTAATGACTCACTGCGTCACAGTGAGGCTGTTCTGAGAGGTAGACAGGGTTTCTGTTTTAGCCTCATGCTAAGCCGCTCAGCTCTGGTCTGTCCAAATCACATGACACGTTGTGACTGAAGGACCGCAGCTTCAGTTTTTACAGGAAGGAAGAGGATGACTGGAGAGGAACTGCTGCTTGTCAGGCTCAGTGTACCACCAAACTCTAGACTGCCAGAAGTACTCAACACAGCTGAGCAGAATGATTTCAAAGTGGTTCATTCATTCACACACACTGTAATCAAACAGCCTCGGATTAAAATATAAATAATCCTTTTTGGGTTTTCTTGAAGTTTGTGCTCGAAATAACCTGCCCAAATGTAACTGAGTGTTTCTTAGCATTTACAAATGCTACTTAAATAATCTTGATATCAAAATAAAGCTAACACTTAGATTTCATCAAAAGCGTAGTTATCACAGCAGCTGCTATTGTTTCAGACATTGTGAGGATAGCACACAGCGTACATGTCAACCCCTTCGGACGTTTACCTGTACAGTGAGCCTCAAAATCCGTAATAAACACGCGCGGGGGTGCAGGCGGATATGGCAAGCCAAATTTGACAATGTTTCAACAAAACTGACACTTTGATGTCAGCCATGGTTTAACATTTGACAAAAAAAAGTTTTGAAATTTTTAATCTGAAAAAAGAACAGAATGTCAAAATGGAAACTGAGTAGGTACAAATATCTCACTCATAGAGACAATCACTGTACCCTCACTGCAGCAGCACACTCATAATCTGAGTTAATCTGAAGAGCTGGAATGTTCAACTGAAGAAGAATGTTGCTGTCAGTAACATACAGACATATCTTCTCTGTGAAAGTGATGAAAACAGAAATCCTGTTTGACAAGTGTAAAGAAAAGTAAAAAACAGAATATGTGCTTAGTTAGAGAGAACAAGCTGTTTCACTTCTAAAGAAAAAAATGACTTTAAAGTGGTTTAACTTTATCTTGAGTTTTGTTCAACCTGGAGCCATCATATTAATTAGGTACGATACAGACACCCTCCCTGATAGGGTTGCCACAAAAATATACATTTACAGGTAAAACTGAAAATCTGTTAAACACACGGACAACACAAAACCCTTATGGTGTACAAATCCTGGCAAAAAAGTATGAAATTGCCACTCTTTGAGTATTAATTTTAATTTTTAAATTTTATCTAAAGAAAATACCACAGCACTATAATTTTTCAGAATTCCAGTTTTCTGGCATCAAAAACGATGAAAGAATGGTTGTAGTCAGACATAACTGTTTTTTATATGGAGTAGAGGGAAAATATATGGAGTCACTCAAGTTGTTCAAATTGTCTGCACTTAGGGTGGAACTGGAATGCACATTCTTTGAACACCTGCTCAGGGACAGGTCCTGCTGCTTTTCTGGTGTTGATGTTCCTCAATGTCCTACAGACATTTACTGTTTGGAGGCTCAGTCTGCTCGTTGGGTGGCGTGATTTCCTTCTTCACTAGGGCAGTCATTTTGTGCCTCAAACATTCTTCTCCATTTTCTGCTGCTTATCCAAAGTCAGGTCGCGGAGGCAGCAGGTCTAGGAGAGAAAACCAGACCTCCCTCTACCCAGAGATGCTTTCCAGCTCGTCCTGGGGGACCCCGAGTTGTTCCCAGGCCAGAGAGGATACATAATCCCGCCAGGGAGTTCTGGGTCTTCCCCGGATCAGATGAGCCACCTCAACTGACTCCTTTGGATGTGGAGGAGCAGCAGCCCTACTCCGAGCTCCCCCTGGATGACGTAATYCCTCACCCTATCTCTAARCCCRGCCACCCTACGAAGGAAGCTCATTTTGGTGGCTTGTATCCGGGATCTTGTTCTTTTTGGTCATGATCCACGCCTCGTGACCATAGGTGAGGGTTGAAATGTAGACAGACCAGTAAATCTAGAGCTTTGCCTTTCGACTCGGCTCTTCCCTCACCACAACCGACCGAAGCAACACCCTCATTACTGAGGAAGAGGCCCCAGTCCATTGACCCATAATATAAGTTGAGTTTGTTCAGGTTCATTACAAGGTTATCTGTTTTCCTTGTGATGGTGTGGATACATAGCCACAGGTTCCTGGTGTCAGCTGGTTCATAGAATCTCTGAACTTTCAGAACTTGGACACGTTTTGCCTTCCTTATGGCACAGTCAAGGTTGTCTCTAGCTGTTCTGAGAACAGCGGAGCTGCTAGATTTAAAATCTACGTTCCATGCTTTCAGCAAGGCCCGCACCTCCTCCGTCATTGTTTGCAGTTGGCATACGATGTGATGGTTCTGATGGTGCTGACATCTTCCATGCACTGCTGCATGTTTCCTGAATCCTGCCTTCACTTCGCCCTAAGTTGGTTCACTCCTCTACTCTAGGGGTACCCAGGTCTTCCTAGTGTAGAATGCTGAGACCTCATAGATGCTCTGTTGTCAACAGATTTACTGATCTGATACCTCTGGAGGTGTGTAGTTCCAATAAGGCCAATGCTGCAGCCAGATGCTTGGCTAGAAATTGAAAAACAGAAACCAATTTCAAACGTCTAGAAGACAATGCAGCCACAGCTACTCCCAGTGCCACCATTTTTAGGCTAAATTTTAAAGATAGATAATTGTGAAACGTTGCAAAAGATGTTTCTTGTTACGGTCAGCTGTGCCTAATATCTGGAATAAGTACAAACAAAATGAAAAAGTTGTTAAAGGGAAGCATTAACCATGTACACAACCTGCATCATCTGGTTGGCCTTTGTACCCATCTTCTTTGGTACCGCTCAGTCCACTGAGAAGATGTTCATCCAGACAGCCACACTAACCGTCTCCTTGTCTCTGAGCGTCTCCTTGTCTCTGAGCGCCTTCGTCTCACTCGGGATGCTTTACGTCCCCAAAGTTTACACCATCGTCCTCCATCCAGAGCACAACGTCCAGAAGAGGAAGAGGAGCTTCAAGACAGTTGTCCAGGCTGCAACACTTTCTCAAAGATCCCCTTCAGAGAAGCAGAACGGCAACACAAAGATTGAACCTGACAGAACACAGTAAACTAAACTACAGGAAACTGAAGTACCTGAAGAAAACACACACGTGTACTGGGAGAACATCCAAACTGCACCCACCCCAGGACAGGAGACCATCCTTTTCACTGAGAGGCAACAGACACTGTGCTGCACTTGATACTTTTAAATCCTGATTAAAGACTAATTTTTATTGTTTTAAAGAGGATGCATTATGAAAATCTTTTGTTTTATTTGATACTGTGTTTTTGTAATCTTGTTTTATAATTCAGTCCTTTTCTTGTTCCTTTGACTTGCATGTTGTGGGCCATTTTAGTCCAACATTTTGGTCAACATGCTCATAAATAAATTAGAGTTGACTCCATGTCAAAAAAAAGGGAAGCATTAAACAAGGAGGGCATCAAACTGTGAGTTTTGAAAAAAATATAGTTTGTGGGATGTCTGATTTTTTTATATACAAAGTTGAACAACTAAAAAAAGGCAAAAAATAAACATTCCCAAAGGTGGGACTGATCATGATTGATCAATAATTGATGGTGGGATTGATTCAGTAACTCTTGCCAGGGTTTGTGAATATATGTACAAATAGATTTATCACACTAATTTAAGCAGAAGTGTCAGAGTTTCATGTTGGTGTGAAAGCCACTCTTCCAGTGTTGGAGCAAACTGAAACTGGTCAGAATGTCCTCAGAACAGAAACCCAGCATTGCAACATCAACCCACATACAAATGCAAATTACTTACTTTAGGTGTAATTTCTCACATTTTTTCACTTCATCTGTGTGACGTTAGTAAAGTGTCTGATCAGCTCTAAACAACAAATGAGCATTGATTTAGACCTTTAAAAGCTGTGTTTATTCAAGTTGTGAGAATCTTTCTCTGTGTTTTGACAATGTTTGTGGTAAATAAAACATAAACGAATCTTACAATAATGGACTTTCTTCGCAGGTATTGATAGTCCAGAGGATCTATGTATTCTGTATTCTAACAGAGCTGCGTGTTACCTGAAGGATGGAAACAGTCAAGACTGCATACAGGACTGCACGAGGTGAGAGGGGTTTTATGTTTTTAATTTCACACAGTGAGATCGATCAGCATCTGTTTGCTGTGTCTAAAAAGATGAGTAGTAGAATCTGAGCAGCAGCTCAACCTTTTGATTAGTTATTGTTCTCTAAGATGATTAACCTCTAAAACCCTCTATCAAACTAGAATGAACCGGTCTGGGAGCTGGAGGGGGTGGGGTGTGAAGCGCCTCGTTTGGATTTAAAGAGACAGCCTCGAAATCAGTTGATCTGAGACACATCTCAGAAAAGGGGTGGGGCTTGTGGAGTTACAGCAAGGAGGAATTCAGATCAAAGCATTGCAGTTCCACTTTATATAGACCCCAAGTGAAGGATTTAAATGTGAAAAGGAAGGATTTAAAGCATCGTATGTCTTCTTTAAATCCATGTTCAATGGAAGAAATGTGGGAAYGTGTAAATCTACCAAGATCGGGTCGTCTTCAAACAGTGACAGAAGGAGAAWAGTGAGAGAGACCACCAGGACYCCTGAGACCCTTACAGGGTACAAACTTCAGCAGGGAGAGACTTTGCCATAAAAACTGTAGCCCAGGTTGTTTACCAGTCTAAGATTTTTGGAAGAGTGGCAGAGAGTAAGACCCAGCTGAAGAAAACTCAGATTAAATGTGGCTCAGAGTTTGTGGAAGGACAATGTGATGCTGTTTGCAAAATATGGTTTTAGATTTTACATTTAGACTTATTTTTGATAAATTTACAATATTACAAGAAAAGGAAAACAAAATGAAAATGTATTTTACAAATACAAATCAATTATTTTGAAAAAAAAAAAGGAGTAGGCTGAAGCCAAGGCTTATGCTTGTCTACTCTCAGTAGGGTCTAGCCTGTGTCTTGTATTCAAAAATACAAAACAAACTGGGAGGCTTCATTCTATGTAGAAACTGTAACAATTCATGATGCATAARCACTGCAGATTGTTGATCTAAGAGAAATTTTGATCAATTTGATTTTTTTGTTTAAACYGGCATCTGTTTGTCTGATTACAGTTCAGCTGTTGCACTTTCCTTGATGTCATGTTCTTTGTAGAAACGACATCTTACAAATAAAATATTATCTCAACAACAAACCCTCACTGCTCCACCTTGTCCAGTCTGTCCAGTTTAGTTCAACGTTTGAAACACAATGATGTAATGTTGTCATGTAAACACACTTTCTAATAAAAGTCTAAAACTTAGCATAAACCAAACCATTTGTGAATAAATATTTACAGTTTCCATTATAAAATCTTRCATACAAAATCTGTATATCTGCATGCCATTCATTGAAGGAGGGCCTGTCTCTAGACTTAAACTATGAACCATCTTATGTTGGTCAAGCCATGAAAACAGGTTAATAATCTCATGACTTTGTGGTATTTGTTAGCAGATAAAGTAAATGAATGACTGAACCAGTACCACATCAAAATGTAACGGTGACTGTAAATTTAACCGAGTTAAAGCCATGTTTGTGTTTGCTAAGGTTCACTAACGGTGGCAGCCATCTTGACCCAGGTTGACTCCAAACATTTTTCAGCTCGTYGACGAGGAATTTTCCTCTGGGGAGAATTTTCCATTCAGACTGAAAAATGTGAAGATCTGAGCTGTAAGCTATAACAAGCTGCTGTCTTTCTGTGAGCTGAACTCACATGCAGATCCCACTCCGTCCCCGCTCTTCTTCCAAAGGGTCTTTGTCGGCCCGTTCAACATGAGTTTAATTAGCTCCCCACACGTCTCAGTTTTAGATGTGAAAACTCCACAGATAAGAACCAAAACATCATCAAACCTGAGACGAGCTGGTTAGAATCTGGATCAACAGTTTGAAAGAGGTGTCTGCACTAATAGACACTGCTAAAAAGAACTTTTAACATAAAGTGAKTCTAAATTTAGGCATTCAAACACAAGCTTCTCTTGCTGCTGCCCTGATCCTTTGTGCTAGTCTAATTCTATCTATTTATACTCCCCAGAGCCCTGGAGCTGCAGCCGTTCTCCTTAAAGCCCCTCCTGCGTCGAGCTATGGCTTACGAGTCCCTGGAGCGCTACCGAAAGGCCTACGTGGATTACAAGACCGTCCTGCAGATCGACAGCAGTGTGCAGGCAGCCAACGACAGCGTCAACAGGTACCAGCTGAAMAAGGCTGCAAACCCAGAGGAGTGTTTCACTGGTCCTGTTCCTGATCCTGGTCCTGTTCCTGATTCCGATCCTGATCCTGATCCAATGTTTGAACATTCAGTCAGAATTAAAGTCTTGACTAAACTAAATGAAAACAGTCTAGCTTAGAAAGGTATTGCTCAATATCATTTAAAAAGTTACAGGAATGTCAGATTTGTTTTTGTTTTTGTTGATGAGTCAATCATCGACTTTCATAAAGATGAACAAACGGCTCCTTTTCCTCCTGATGGCAAAATGTCGTTCTTTTTCTTTTCTTTTTTTTTTTGTTTGTTTTTGTTTTCGAGACATGGGGCTGTACCCTCAGTTCAAAAGTCCCACCTACACACCCTCCCAACTCATTAACAAAGTTGTCAATCAAGGGGTAACAATAGAAACTAAACATTTATTTTAAAAATGCACATAYAACAGCAAGGTAAGAGCCATGTAAACCAATGAAAATCAAGACCTGAAAGTAATATTTCMAGTGTGTTTTGATTCTTTAGTGAGAAAAATATCATTTACATGTAAGAGCGAGACTTAAAAATTGCACTGCAGTCAGTCCTGTTTCTAGTTTTCAATGTCTGGATGGTGCAAAGTGTGTGATGATGTCACACTTTCCACTTAAATTTTTAGGTCCTCCAAATGTTCAGGGGTCTCATTTATAAAGGATTGCRTGGAAACCATACTAAAAGTGAACGTACGGCCAAAAGGCGGAAATGGCGTACGCCAAAAAAAATTCTAATTTATAAAACCAAGCGTACGCATGTTTCTGCGCATCTTTCCTTTATAAATCACAGCCACACGTCAGAGTTTGCGCACACGCCCACATTCAACCATAAACAGTCGATGTAAAGTACCTCATGAATGTTAAGATGTATTTAAATCAGTCAGATGA